TATTTGGCTATGGTGGCAACTACACAACTTCATCTTGATATATGTTATGCAATTCAATGTCATGCTTTGAATGAAACGGATATAAGTTCTAGCATTTAGTTCTATCATGATACAATTGCATTCTAAGTAGCAACCAAGCAAAGAATAATGAGATCATGCAACAACTTTAGAAAACAAAGAATCACAGATTATAACTCTCCAAAGAAGGTAATGGCTCGAGTCTCACAGGGTTGTAGTGTTTGTTTGAGTTCCTTCCTTCAAGCATGTTACAAAAACGAATTTTTCTTTTATGATTGCATGTGAAGTCATACATTATAACCATAACCAAGCATATACCAAGAGTAAATCAAACTTTTCTCTATGTTTATAACTCTTTTTAACAGTCATGCAATTACAAACCAAATCCTTATCATTGTGTTGGAAGGTACCCTAAGACACAAACACACAAAACGACTCAAAACACTCTTTTTAGGCTTTTCAAAACATGTTTTTCAAATTTTTATGTGATTTTCAGAGTTATCAAAACAAAACATACTAAAACACTCTAAAACAACTTAAAAATACCTTAAAACAGCAAGGAACAACATTTGAAGTTATGGGTGATAAAATCCCACGACTTTGCATCAAATATACTTAGTTACCCCCCCCCCCAACACTTAAATCACACATTGTCCTCAATGTTTTAAGCATAGATTTACATAAAACATAAGTAAACACACAAACAGCATTTATACATACTAAACATGGTAGAATGTAACTAACAAAGAGAAGAGTTTAGGGACGCAAATCTGGAATTGGAGTGTTTTCTCGGTCTTCCTTTGTTGAATGCATGGGTTGATCTTGGTGATTCCACAGGCTTACTCTTGAACTGGGCTGGAGGATTCTTTTGGTCTCCTCCACTCGTTGATTTTCCTTTGTGCTACTCTTGAACTGGGCAGCAGGATTCTTTTGGTCTCCCCCGAAGGTCTGAGCTTACTCCTTTTTTCTGTTTCTTTGTTCAATCTCTCCAATTCGTATTGAAGAGGGTTAGAGGATAGCTCAGCATATGCAGTTGTAGCTTGTCTCCACATGCTTCAATGTATCATTTTCACTTGCCTTACTTGCTCCCCTTTGCAGAAGTGGTCCCTTCTCTGGAAGTGTATCAACCGTTGAAGATGACTACTCGAGTGCACGGCAAAGGGTGAATGGGGGATGTGTGATTGAATGATTAAAGTGCATGTGGGTTAATATGTGGCTGATTAGAATCTAGGGTGAATGGTGTGTATTGGATGCACGGTAAAGGATATAGGAAAGGTTTAAATGTCCTAAAACTAAAGGGAACAAGGTTCCAACACTTTGGTCTTCAATTAGGTCTTCAATTTCGTCAAACACTTTGACTCCAAGCATAAGCTATCCATCCTTAGCCCAAAAGTGCTCCAAAAGTCTCCAAAATGCATCTTTTTGCTCCTTTAGCCCTTTGGACCTACAAACACACGAAAATAGCTTAAAGTACTAAAATTAATAAGTACTAGCAACATAAATGCAAGAAAACAAGCAAACTAAGGCGCATAAATATGCTCCTATCATTATAGTAATACCAACGTCATTCAATATAATTAGTTATAACTTTAAGATAATGTAACCTTGGAGTGTAAATTTGAATGATTGTAGTGCAATTTTATGTTTTATATTATTTAGACGTTGAACGTTAACGTCATGTTGTAACATTATACGGGTAATATGTAAGAGAGTATTTTTGCTCACCACCCTAAACTAGGGTGTATGCTTACCATCACTTTTAAAGCTTGACATATGTCCACTAAGGCCATCTCCAACTGATCCAGCTAGAAGGCCATAGGGCTAAAAATAGCTCGAAATGATACGAAAACCATCTCCAACCGAGGGCTAGGCCAAAGGGCTTGTGGATCCCACTGAGCTAAAAATACCAAATCAGGCCAACTGGCTGGCCCAAATCAGCCAGCCAGCCAACTCCGGGCCCGCCTAAAGTAGCTAGCTGGAGTCATGCTGATGCCAGGTAGCCGTTGGATTTGAATTTTTTATTTTTTATTTTTTTTTGTGGACAAAATTTAAAAATAAATAAAAATTCTAATTTTTTTTCCCTATAACTACCTAAGCCTTAGCCATTAAACAACATTAGGGGGTGTAGTCAAATTAGGATTTTGTAGAATTTAAATAGACTTTAAAATCTGGATGTAGTCGATTAGAGTTTTAAAAGAGCTTTTTAAAAGATTTTGAAATCATGGTATAGTCAAATTAGTATTTAAGAGGATTTTGAAGAATATACCCAAATCTAGGGGTGCCAATTTAAGAGTTTCAAAATACATTCAAATCCAGGTATATTAAAAATGTGAAAGATTTATTAGGATTTTAATGGACAAGAGATTTTGAGGGATTTGAAGGTGGGTGGTATAAATACAAAATGCCATCAAGAATCTCACCCTAACACACAAATTAAACCCTTTTTAGATAGTTGTAGTATATGAAACTAGAGATCGTTCTAGGCCAGGGATTAGAAGGGATGCTAATCTACACTAATTACATCCAAAAATAGAAAACTAAGTTAACTTGACTCAAAACAAGCACTAGAGAGAAGTTTGGATGAATATTAAACTAAAAAGACTCAAAATACTGAATGGGGGTTGTTTTGATGAATTTAACTAAAACTAAGTAGATTGCAGAAAACAAATTAAGTTAATATGAAATTTGGGTGAATTAAAGGGTGAAAGGCTAGTTAGAGAATTCTTCTCCACACATGACACATATGTATACAAATCGATTTCCAATTACTATTCCAATAAACCATGAATGACAATGCCCCAAGTTAACCATGAACTGCACAAATTAACCATCAGATTTCCCTAAATTCATTGAATTGGACTCAGTGACGCAATCAAATTATTTTTATCAAGTTCCCTATATGAACTGCATGATAGAGATACATATCAAAAATCATTAAGTTCTATGAAAATCATAATCATTGACAAAGCATTCGTAACTATAAACTGCATGATACTCCTACCATGGATTTACTTAATACAATTGTGACTAGTAACCTCCACTACTTATAAATATAAGTTCATAACGATTAGGTGAAATTCCCATATATTTTACATCAGATTGATGCATGCAAACTAAGTAGGCCTCCTTAATCAACATACAAGAATAAGTTATCAATCAAATAGATAAGTAAATCGCATTCATGTTTTACAAAACAATAATTGGATGTAATCAATTCATATAAAACATATGTCCATGGCTTCGAATTCACCTCTAGCTAAAAAGAAATTAGTTCCACATGTTCATCATAATTGAAAACCAAGTTAAAACAAACATTGGACTAAAACTAAGGATAGAATACACCTAGAAACGCTCCAGCAATCCAATGGCAGATTGCACAATCCTTGGATGCAGGTACGGCACAAGATCCTTCTTCTCCCTTCCTTGCACGGCACAAAGTGTATGTTTTTTATTTTAGGCTTTCGTGTGTGGTGCCCTGAATGGTGCGGCAGATGTGGGTATTTATAGGGCGAGGGGGCACGACAGGGTTATTTTGGAGAAGGATTTGGCACTCCAAAGGTTGTGTTGGAAAAGGATTGCACAGCACAAACCAACAGGGACAAGGATCCAAGATGTGGTAGATTTCTAGAAGGACAAGGGATAAGGTATACGGCACACTTTTAGGAGAAGGTAAGGCCTTCTAGAACTAGATATTTAGGTGATTTAATGTGAAAATGAGTCCCCTTTGCAACTGGAATTAAGCTAGCAAAAGATTAGGATAGGATAAGATAAGATAAAGTTTGGATAAGATAACGTTGTTTCCTTCTTTATAGCTGATTCCTTATTTTCAATGTCTTGAATTAATTCTTCTAGATGTTAAGCACATTCCTAGCCTCTTTTGATTTTCAAAAACATCCATCCACCTTGCTCCATGCATGTGTTGTCCATTCCAAGCCTAAAATTGCTCTAAAATGCACCAAATTGCACTTTCTTACCAACTTTGTCATTTGAACCTGAAAACACACGAAAATAGTTTAAAACGCTTTAATAAGTAGAAATTAACTTGGTAAATGCAAGAAAACAAGCAAACTAAGTCGCATAAATATGCTCCTATCAAATTCCCCCACACTTAGCTTTTGTTAGTCCCCAAGCAAAACAAAACAAACAAAACATAACCTAGACCTTCCAACAATTGCCTTAGGGATTTCCAATGAAACATGACATGTTAAAAATCACTATTCCCACAAATTTTAGCCATCTTTACCCTCGAGCATATACTTAACCGCAGTCACCACTCACTAGCTCGCATTTAATCAATTAAAACAACATTTTGAATGTAGCAACATGCCTTAGAGAATCCCTCAATTCCTCACCGGCTATACTCTCTATTTTCACACAGATTTTCTGACTACACTCCCTACACTAGGTATATGTGAGAAGATTGATGTAAACTTGTAGACTAGCACTCACATATGTTCTAACAAAGATGACACTTTTTGGAATGATTAGTACAACATGTATATGATCTCATGAACATATTGCCACTACTTAGAAGCGAGAATCAGGGATACCATATGCTTGTACCAATTTTAAACTTCACATATTGAAACACATAACAATCAAGATCGAAGTCTAAGGGTTGTAACGGGACTAAGGTATTGGCTAACAAAGAAAGGTTAAGGATAAACAAAAGTTTTTAAAGCGATAGTAAGCAAAGTAATGAAATAAATACTTAGAATTCACTTTTGAATGCAAAAATCAACTTTAAACACCAATGGAAGATTTACACATCACTTAGGGCCAGATTCAAATTTTTGGACCATGTCTTCAACAACCAATACTTGTGAGCACATTCTCATTTATTTTTCAACTTTTTTTCTTTCTTTTCTCAACTTTTTTTTTTCTTTGACAAAAAAAAAAAAGAATGTCAAAGATTTATTAGGATTTTAATGGCCAAGAGATTTTGAGGGATTTGAAGGTGGGTGGTATAAATACAAAGTGTCATTAAGAATCTCACCCTACCCCATGTGATTTCTTTTCACGTTCATCACAGAAGTAAAACAGTTTTGTCTCTCATCTTCCTCTATCGCCATACGGTATTGCAGTTTTCTTCCCAATTTGTATATGTTTAATCTATTTGATTGCTGGAAAAACCATATACGTATGCAATGAAAAGAGAAAACATACATGTAATAGATTAAAAAGGGAAAGGGAAGAAATCCTCCCTTTCTTTCCTTTTCGTGCAAGGCTTTCAGAAATCTGTATCAGATATTATGCATCCAGGAGTGTGCTGGCAGGTTGAATAGTGTATATAAATTTTCAATTTTTCATATTAAACTATAGAATTTACCCTTTAGGATCGAAATACCAATCGAAACAGAAAAACTCAGCTCGTAATTTTTGGTTAGGACGAGGAAAATCTGAAAACTCAGTGTGGGAGGATCAAAGTTTGGTGCTTTCTGGGAGAAAATTGGGTTTTTTGTGGTGTTTGTTTGATGGGTTTATTGGTTGATTCAAAAGGGGAAGGGGGCGCCGGAGGAAGTGGAAGAAACGGCGGTTCATGGGGTTTTTTGTGGTGTATGTTCATGTGAAGTCAGGGGGTCATCAATTGGCCAAGGAGTTGACTGATCTTGCTGCAATTGGTAAAAGCTTGCTACTTTCCCCCTCTTAGTTTTTTCAATCATATATTTTGATATCTGTTTAGTAATTTTAGATGAGACGATGATGATGCTGATGGAATTTGTGTGTTTAGATTAATTGTGGTGATGATGATGCTTATGGAATGTGTGTATAGATATCTATTTAGTAATTTTAGACGATGATGGTGATGATGTTGTTTAGTAATCATATATGGTGTGTGTATAGATTAATTGTGGTGTGTGTGTATATAGATTAGATGATGGTTTCGATGTAAAAATTCATGGTTGGTGGTATTTGGTTATGTTGTTAATTTCTTTATGATTTTGTTTATTTGGTTGGGTAGTTTATATAATATCTCAATCAAGCATGGAAGTGGATGAAGAAATGGAAGTCGAGCAAATGGTGGAAGAACAAATTGAAGAAGAAGAAGAAACTAATGAAGAAGAAATTGAGGAAGAAGAACTTTATGAAACCATTAAATATTTATTGATGGCAATTCAAGCCGTAGTCCACGTGCTAGAAGAGTTTATAATTACATTTGGACAACCTATTGAACGTCCTTTAAATCGACGATCAATTACTATGGAAGGATACAATTATATACATAAAGTATTGAAAGAGGACCGCCCAGAGGATTTCTTGCAAAGGTATAGAATGTATCCTGATGTGTTTGTGTGAAGTTATGCACTATTATTAGAAAAACTGTCACATCCTGACCCACGAATAAAGACTATTCACGAGCTAGGGTGTGAGCCATATCTTAGCTATAGAAATAAATTCTATAACCAAGATATGGTAGAAAAATTAAATTAAATTATTAAAATTTATTGAATACACAGTGGAAATAGAATAGTACATAAATTAATTTACAACAAAAAGTACCAATAAAATAATAATTAAATTGTAACAATTCTTTCAAATGCATGAAATATGTGCAAATGAGATGCATGAATGTACTCACTCCCTTCTAATCCCACTAACACATACCTAAGGCATCCAAACCTGCACGTTTCATACCATACTTATACCACTTGGCTTCGAATACGTTAGAGTATGAGTTAACTCCTGTTCATCCCTTAAACCCAATTTTTGTAATTAAACTCTCAATTTCCACTTTAGTAAACAGGCACTTCCCCCAACACCCAATTGTATATTCAAGCCTTCCCCCGATGCCTAACATATACAAGATTTCAATATTTTTATCGCTAGCCTTGGATCTAAGTTTGGTGCTAACCCTGTCCTATAGATCACATTAGGTGACTTCGACTAGTAGGTGACCCGCGATTTATCGCTAGCCTTCACGTAATCGTAGCACTAGAGCGTACGTATTTACACCTAGCCCTGTCATACAGGTCACACTAGGTGACTCCAACTTATGTACAAGCATAGGCTGATGAGCAATAGGTCCAGTCATACAGGTCACATTAGGTGACTCCAACTAGCATGATAGTTTAGATTGATTCACACCTGACTTACATTTATTATTACTGAGATGTTGTGACGTGGCATGCTCATGTTTTCATTGCTCTTGTTCATTGATTTTCATACTTACACAATATTATTTTTTGGAAACTATACGGGTTTTACAGTTTGGGGTTATTACTTTCAGAAAAGAGAAATGTGTTTTCTAAAGGTTTGTTTTTGCCCAATCACCTTTCTGTTTTTCGCCCCTCCAGTTACTAGATAGTTGTTCTTCTGTGTGGCACACGAGAATTACCCAACGGTTCTGACATTTCACTAAATTATATAGGGTTCTTCTCTCTGGTTCTATATTTAGTACTTAGATAGTTCGACTGCACCTTTAAATTACCTATGCTCTGAATGTTTGTAACTTGGGTTTGACCACTTCTGCATACTCACTTATTTTTAGTTTAAGTAAGTTTTAGTTTTGCTTTTAATTTGTTCACATTTTTAATTACTTCCTTTGCACTCTTGGCTACGTCACTCTCACGTGACGGCCAGCACGCCTTGATTTCGGTCGGGGTGTGTTAGCTTTTGGCTAAAGTTCAAAGTTTTAGAATCGTTTTCATTAGTTTTCCTTTTTACTAAAGACTTACTTTTAGCTATGTCCTCTGAAACTCAAATTTAATCTAATTTTGCTCATTACAGCTCAAAAGTAGCCACTTTACCTCTGAAACTCAAAGTTCGCTTCACTTTGCACCGTGGAACTTGATTTTGATCCGTTTTGCCCTTGAAACTTGAAAGTCGTCTCTATAAAATTCAAAATTCTCTCCACATTGCCTTAGATTTGTTAATCTCTTATGTGGGTTTGATTTGGGTGCACTAGGAAAATCAATTTATTTTTTAGTTTTCATCCCTTCAATTTCTTTTAAACTTAATATTTTCGAAGTCTAGAATGTTAACACATAATTGAGATTTATAATCAAATTTATTGTTCATGTGGCATAGTCTTATTGGTTGTTGGATCCCACATACATTTTAAGACGTGACAGATAAGTTTTAGGAAGAAGAGAGTCCACAATTCAAAATGGAACGAATTTTGAGTTTTAAGAAGTAAGAGATGCCTTCTAAGTTACAATAGCCACGAGGCAAAGTGAGAGCAAAATGGAGTTGTACATAGTGTAGCTAAAAAAAAGCCTTTTTGAATTTAATATTAAAAAATGTTATTCTTGCCATCTATTTGTACCATCATTTGTATTATCTATTTGTACCATCATTTATTTGTATTATTGAAAAATATTTAAACGTGTATTAAACATAAAAAGTATGTATGTACATGTAGAACACATGTATCATATATTAGAGTTTAAAAAAAAGTGCAATATTTAAGATGCACGAAAAATGTACAATATGCATATTACACGCGAATTTACTAAGTATAAACTCAAAATACATACAAGAAGAGACTCTTGTATTCAAGTCCACGTGAATTTACTAACCATAAACTCAAAATACGTACAAGAAGAGACTCTTGTATTCAGGTCCACCAAAATGGGTCATGTGAGATCCAAATGCCAAAGAGAGGTCCACCAAAATGGGTCGGGTGAGATCCAAAAGCCAACGAGAGTTTTCCTTGTATTTTTCTTAAGTGTATATGTAATGTGACACAGGAGCCAATACTTAAAAGGATGGCCAAATTTTTTTTGTAGTCCCTGTGGTGACACGCCACTTTCAAGGTGACCCATGTGGTGAAAAAACTATTAATTAAACCCCCGTGGTGAGCCCTATTAGCAATTGAGGTCCAAATCCAATGTTCTGTTAGTCTTCCGTTAAATAAAATCATGTGACTATCACATGTGAATCATTCAAAATTAAGTTTATTTATTTTGGAAAATAAAAAGATAAAAGGGTTGTTTTATATACAACCCACATTTTGTTGACTACATCCCACATACTTAATACCACCCCGTTTACTTTTTAGATTAAAAATTTATCTTAATACACTTCACATACTTTCCAATACTACCCTTACACCCACACTCTTTGTGAAATTTAAAATTTCTTTTTATATTCTCTATTCAATTTTCTGCACATTTAGTTTTATCCACTCGAGGGTTTAGTCTTCCATCAATTTTCTGCACATTTAGTTATGTTTATAGATTTTTTATTTCATGTTTTTATGAAAATATGACTTTCATTAACATGAGGGATCAACAGATAGTACAAGAGGAGAAAGCCAACTTGGCTCCTCTTAAATCCCAGATTTAAAATCATCAGCACGAACTGCATATTGAGCTAGTTCATGAGCCACAACAAGCTCTGTTCTGCCATTGACAAAAAAACATTCGAAACTTTTTCCCAACATCTGTATATTCTCCATGATACAACCCTCTGGACCCAGAAAAGATGTAATATCAGCCACCACCACTCCCTTCGCGTCAAGCACGAGAACAATATCTCTATGACCCAAATTAAAAGCAAACATCAAACGTTCCTTTTCTGCAGACATTTCAGCGACTTTAACTAAAAGGCACTCTTGCATTCAGTGGCGGATGCATTGAGGGGCAAGGGGGGTTAGCTGACCCCCCAAACTTCGGTGAACATTCATGGATACCTTGGATGCTGACCCTCCGAACTTCGATGAATGTCCTTGGATACTTTGGGTGCTGCCTTTTTGAATATTAGAGTTCACTTCATATATACCCACCAACTGTTTGATAAAATGTCTGAAAGAATAGTGAATGAAATGGTGATCTCAGGGAATAACAAAGTATCATCATTCTTGGACAAACATATTAATGGGATGCAGTGATATCAAACATTATTAGTGTGTTCAAGATAAGTGTGTTTCTTTGTTAAGCTTTCATATGAGAGTAGCCTTGGAACATGTTAGTTACCCTCGCAAATGAAGCATTAACAAGTGTGCAGTATGTCTTTCCAAATGACTTCAGGCCTACCAAGACTCAATGAAACAGCGATATGCATGCTATATCTGGTAAAAAAAAAATTGCGCGCTATTCTTACTGACCCCCCTAATATTATTTCCTAGATCTGCCACTGCCTGCATTGGTTTTGATTCGAATTATTGTGAAAGTATTACTTTTTAAAGCTGAAATTTATTTTATTTTTTAATTTTAATTTTTTTTGTTTGTGAATGTTCTGCGGTGGGTTTTTGACATACCTCCTAACGTCATCACTCAATGCATCACCATTGACTTCTTGAGAGATCATCTTATCCCATAATGCACGTAGTTTGGTGTCGTCGTCGATCTCCTGCTTCTTCTAGCACCCTATGGTGGGATTCGCAATGTTAAACTTCATGTTTGCTCCGCCGCTGGCAGGTGGATGAGAGAAATGCTCCGCCTGCTAAACCACTCAAATTTGACAAGCTTTTGCCAACTTGTTTCTTGAAATTTATTGGCTCAACTAATTTGATTGTTTTACTTCAACTAATTTGGTATTCGTGGGCTAGATAGTCATTTCATATAAAACTATATGTCATTTAATAATATATTTATATGTGGGGTGTTCAACAATATATGGGGTACTAATAAAAATACCCAAGACAAAAACATGATTGAATTAAAATAAAATTACAAATAAAAGAAATTTGAAAAGATAAAAAAACCTAGCAATTCCCGTATCTCATCTTAGGCTCCCAGCCACTGCCATAGCCATTAGTGGACCTCATCCACAGTCACTATCATCACCCCAATTTGATAGCACATGTATCTCAAGTTCTCAACCTATATAATCCAGAAAAATCACATATGTACAAGAATAACTTAAAGAGTTAAAGACAATGGGTGAAATGTAGTATATATATGCATTCAGACGGGTGAAAAGCATTGTAGAATTCAAGACAATAGGTGAAAGACATTGAAAATTCAATCTTCAGGTCTGCCCTCCGCATATGAACTTCAAGACCATAAGAAAGTTAAAGAATTAAAATTCAAAGAAGATTAAGAAAAAAATTGAAAGGTTGTGTACTGGCCAACTAGGGCCTGTATAAAACCACATTACCAATTAAAGACAAAACTGAAAAGCATTTATGCATTCAAACTGGTACAAATTGATACAAGAATGAAAATTCAAGTAAGACTAAGACTCTAACTCATGATCAAAGATGTGTTGGCATTGAAAAAAAAAAAAAAACAATGGTTATTAGAAGTATTAGGATTTCCAAACGAAATTAAATCGTACCTAAGAAATTAGGCGCGACTTCCTTCACCTCTTCTCCTAGCCATTGACATGGTTTTACAGGTTTAGTTTCA